AAAAAGCCTTGGCCCCAGAAACTGGACTTTAGGGTAAGACGGTACCACATTCGGATCAATCTCTGCATCTTCTAAGCCACAAGAGCTTGGCCAAGTCACTTAATCCATTTCTTTAGTTATTTAATACACAGCATAGTTTATTCTGTGTTGATTACTTATAATCATTAGCATCACTATGATGATCTTTTAGATCAGGATGAAGTAGGCACTGGACAGTGTTGGGAGTCCTTGCTACCATAATTTCTACCCAGAATTCCTGGGGCTACCTTGGGTGGGGGAGTGGCCTCAAGTTTCTCTCTCCTGCTCCCAACACTATCTTCCCTGGCCTTCAAAAAGACAGGGCCTACGAAGTTTTCTTTTTTGATTGGACCACAAAAGCATGTTGTCCTCATTTATTAGTGGTTGGAATCCCTAGCCTCCTGAAATAGGATTTCTGCCATTTCCCTTCCCCATCTGTCAAAAGACTATCCTGAAAGATTGAGAAAGAGCACAAGGAAATTGGGCTGGCAAATCACATCCCAAAGTGGGCTGTGTTAATGGGTGTCTTAGTTATTTTCCTCATTGTTGAGAAAAAATGCCTGAGTTAAAGAAAAAAATATTTATTTTAGCTCACAGTTTGTAGAGGGTTCAGTCCATAGTTGGCGGGCCCCAAGGACAGCATGGTGGAGGTGTGTGGCAGAGGAGAAACAGTCCACAGCATGGTAGACAGGATGCAGTGAGACTTCTTTCTTTCCATTTTTATTCTGTTGAGTCTACAGTCCTATTGATTTGTGCCTCCCACACCCAGGGTGTGTCTTCCTTCTTCAGAAAATCAATTACCCACACCCAGAACTATGCTAAACTAATCGGTGAATTAACCCATGCCCCCAAATCCCTCCTTTGAGCACATGAGGCTTTGAGGGGGGACATCACAATATGAGCTCTAACAATTGGAGGCCACACTTGATGGAGACAAGGCCCTACATGGCTTTAATCACATGGCGGTCACTGCTAGACTGCTTGCCAATGTCTGGCTTCTAGTACCAAGACTGGTTTCCTGCCATCCTCTCCCCAGGTAGGTGCCTGTGACTCTGGCTTGGGAAGCAGCTCTGGTCCCTCCCTGAAATGGGCCATCTGTGCTGCTCACCTGGAAGAGATGAGACAGAGTCAGGGGGCAGTGCTCCATCACTAGGACTGCACCCAATCTACGTCCATCTACAGCCACCTCTCCTGGCTTTATCCTTGCCAGGCATCTGGTTCACAGGGAGACCGGACAGATGCTCAAGTTCCCAGATCCTGAAAGTGTGGTGCTTCCAACTGGCTCAAAAAAATTGAAACTTCTTGGGTGGAAAATTACCAGCAGCTCCATCAGCAATGAAGCAAATGAGAAGAGACTGCCTCAGAGGTTTAGGTGTCATTGCATGGTGTCTACAGGAGCAGGTGGCTGTCAGGAGGGTCCATCAGGAGACGCTCGCGGGCAATATCAGGAGTGAGGCGGGGTACAGGCTAACATGCACAAGGGGTGGGTCTGTTTTACACATGAACTCGGAGGCCTAACATGTGCAAAGTAAGTTGCTGCTAATCCAGATCATAGAACCACAAAAGGTGAGACCTGGAAGGTGCCTTGGCCCTCATTTGGTCCAAATGCATTCTATAAATGTGGAAACTGAGGCCCACAGGCAAACGACTCACTCAGGGCCACGGGGATGGTAGGATGGGCCAGGAAGTCCTAGGCTCCCCTCATGCTGCTCTGGCTGCAAGGCAACTTGGTGCACTCAAGCCAGGGGAGGTGTAGAAGGCCATGGGAGGAAACCTGGATGTGGCAAACACGAGCCCTTCCTCCTGTGTCCATCGGCAGCCATCGGGGAAACACAGACTCTATACTGGTTGGCTCTGTGGCCTAAAACCCACTCATCATATTTTCTTATGAAAATAAAAATCCTGATTATCATTAAAATATTCATATAAATACTATAAAATAAGGAATTACATGCACAGACTTAGCAGAGACATTTCCTGGCTTTATGGACCATTTATCCTATTTAAGAAGCTTCAGTTGATCCCACGTGCCCTGGCTAATTTCCCAGTGATTTAAAATGCAGGCCCCAGCCCTTGCTGAATGCCAGGCTCCTAGGAGTCCCATTGTCCCTGCCTGCCACCTGGGGCTAAGGGACACCACTGGTGCTGCATCACCTTCAGAGATGGGAGCATCAGGAGCACGCAAAGAAACAGGAATCGCAAACACCCACCCCCTCCTCATCAGGAATGATGTTTAACTCTCTCTAGGCCTCCGTCAATCCTTGCATCCCTAGTGGTGTGTGGTGCCTTTGACCCAGTGCTTGGGCAAGACCATCGAGTCCCACACACAGCACTCTCTCCTAGCAATGCTGCTTGCTCCTAGGTGTGTGACCTTTGAGAAACTTGCATAGGAATGTTCATAACAGTGTTTCCTGTAAGAGAAAGAAGAATGAAGGAAGACAGAAAGCTAGAGAGAGAAAAGGAAAAAAGGAAGGACAAAGAAGGGCTGTGGTCTATCTGTGCATGGAGTACTATGTAGCAGCAAAAGAGAAATGAACTAGAACTATATTTGTCTAAGACTTGAACTGATTTGTGTGTACAGCTGAAGCTCAGAATTTTACTTTTGAGCAAAATAGTGTGATATAATTTAAATAAAGCTTTAAAGCACCCACAAAAAATAGTAGCTCTGTTCCTCAGAGTTTATATGTACTGCTTAGGATGAAAACCCAGAGTCAGGTCCCTGACTCTGGACACTGGTCCCTGGAGTAAAGGGTACAGAGGGGACTGAGCGGCAGCTGTCAAGGGTCATTAGCCCTAGCAGTGCTCATGAGTGCTTACTACAAGGTGTTTTCCCCCCTGCATTTTAGATGTCCAAAATATCAAGTGAGAGGAAAAAACAAAACAAAATAGAGAAACACCAAGCCTCCGACCCTTTGGAAATAATTTATTTATCACTGCAATGGTTTTGCTCCGAAGTGTGACACGGAATACACAACCACAATGTCTCATGCCTCTTTTTTTGTGCTTCAGTTCGTGATGGCAAAACACACATACACACACACACACACACACACACACACACACACACACACACACAGAGCAATTAACAACAGGAAACAGCAAAGGCAGCAGCAAATCATATGGACTAGGTCTCTTTTCCCTGTCCTCACCTTGTATTTTTGGCTTAGGCTACATCCACCTTTCACCCAGGACTCCTTTCCACCCAGCAGGAAATGGTCCCGAAGAACAGCACTCCCGTTCCCCCACTCCCTCTGCCCAGCTTCAGTTAGGGTGGTTTGTCCCCCAACCCAGACCAAGAGTCACATCTGAAACGGAAGGGACAGACACCTGCAAAGTCTTGAGGAACAGGCACTCAACAAGTACAGACTGACTTGGCTCAAGAAGTGAAGTCACCAGTCCACGAAGGTGGCCTCTTAATTCTCCAAGCCCATGGCTGTCTTAAGAGAGAACCAGGTCCCCTGCCGGGTGACAGCCCAGCCTGAAACGGTCTCTTTGTTTTCACCTCTGCTTCACACCTTTCTCAGAAAATGCTTCCCTGCATAGAACAAGGTGTCCCTTTCAGAAATGATCAAATGTGTTCATACAGGCTTCACCGCTCTAATGCAGAGGTACATTGCAAGTGTGTCTCATGCAAGGTAAATTGAGGCAATTTTACTGAAATTATTTGATTTGGCTTTGGCAGTCTGACTTCTCTGGGTAATTTCAAATTCACCAGAATAGAGTTTGGGTGGGAAAGTATGGCAATTTATATTCTCTTTTTTTTGTTAAATCCATTTGCAGGGAGAGTTTTGACTGTGGTTGAGTGAACGCTAATACTCAATGTCAAGCATTTCCAGGCCAACTGTTATTCCGGTACTGGGGATTGAACTCGGGTCCTTGCACTTGTGAGGCAGGTGGCAGAACCACTGAGCTAAATCCCCAGCCCTCCAGGCCAACTGTTAGGTGACTGATGACTGCCATTGTTGACTCAGCCAGGGCTCTCCTGGTTCTGCCATGTGCCGTGCGTGTCCTTTTCTGGCGAGACCCCATCTACTCTTTCTTTGTGTATTCAGCCAGCCCTGATGGAGCCCCACGAAACAGCTTTATCCTAGGCATTTGGAAGCCACCAGTGAACATTCAGACGAGGCCCCTGCAGCGTGCATGCCATTTCTGTGCTTCTCTGGCAAGCGGGGCCACAGTGGCACCTAAGATGTCTTGTTGCAGTGTGATGTAACCCCTACCAGGGGCAGCCTTTAGTTTGCATCCTGGAAAACTAAGCCTTTGCTATCTAAAGAAACGAATGGGTTGACTTTGGGTGGCCTTGATGCTCTGGACCAGGGCCCCTGCCCAGCATGCCTCAAATGTTCTTTGGTGGAACTATGAGTGGTGCTTTGATTTATGGGAAAGTAGGACTCATGTTGCTCGATTTTTAAGTTTAGAAACCAAACTTTTCTAGGGTAGCACATGTTAGAGAAGAGGGTGCTAGCCAGCTTTCAGGTTACATGAGGAATATTAGGTTCTGTTTTTGCCATGCCAACTGAAAAGAAGAGACCCCCCCACCAGGGCAGAGAGGGTGAACTCAGAAACACGTTTTAGGAAACCCAAGGCAATGCTGTACCTTTGAAAAAACATTTGGCACAAGGGCTGGTCAATCTGAAAGATCAAGGTTTCCAATCAGCCGAAAAACTTGCCCATTAAAGAGGGATTAATAATTTTTTCTTTTTCCACAGAGTGGTAGTTAAAGTTATTTCTAGTGCTTTCCCATTTCTGTATAGAAAGCACAGATAAGGACAAAAGAGTATGCAAGCCCTGCTCGGGGAGAGGCCAAGAATGACTGGATCTAAAAAGAATGGTGCTAAGATTCTGCCTTCCATCAGGGAATGGGGCTGACTTTGGAGGGCCCAGAGTTTGGCTATTACTAGAAAGAAATTCAGGGCTGGGGATTTTTAGCTCAGTGGTGCTACCGTCTGCCTCACAAGCACAAGTTCCTGAGTTCAATTCCCGGTACCAACAAAACAAAACAGGACATTCAAAAGCAGAATCCATGGCTCTGGAAATATTTGAATAGAGCTGCCAGTTTCTAGGCCTTCTCAGCTGCCAACCCAAAGTGAAAGACTGTAACCTCGCCTAAAGGTGACCTGCGAGTGGTCTCAGGGCCTGTTTTTCGCTGAGGAACACCTTCAGCTTTTGCACACTTGTGCACCTGCCATGTCACCCACACAGATAAGATCCCAGGATGTCAGCCCTGCTTCTTGGACGGCCACACCAAGCTTGTGGAGGGCAGCAGAATCCGGCAACCCGATTCCTGGTGAGTAATATGGCCCCCTCCGGGTAGATTTCTTCACAATCGGGACATTCATTTGGGAATAACAAGACAGAAAGTAAAACTCTAACGGCTGGTTATTTACTGGTTAAAGTGATAAGGACCCCAAAGCCCAGGGAGGGAGGCCTGTCTGCAAAAGACTTCACTTCCTCGCATAGTTGCCTTTCCGCTCTATGCTCCTGCAGCCAGATGGAGTAGATCAAGTTCATAATTAACTTCCTCCAGAAGTGGCTGGATTCAGAGAAGGGATGAATCTGAAGCACAGAGTCACTCTGGTAATGCTGGTAGACGTGACAACTAATGCTCAGAATCCAGCCCGATGACAGGGGATCCACGTATACTTTGTGGGAGAAGGTCTCCCCAAGCACAATATAAGCTGATTTCAAGTAAAACAAGAAAAGTCCTTCAATAAAAATCACAAAATGCAGTCCAAGAGCAGGACTCGGAAAAAGCACACATTTCAACATTAAGAATTAAATTAAAAACAAAGGCTTCAAGATCACAGGGAGGGTTGAGGTGCCCAGGGTTGGGGCGCACTGCCTCCAGGTGCTGGGGCCCCATGGAGGACGGAGGCTGAAAACCCACATGGAATGTTATAGATGGGACCTCTCCACGTCCTCCCAACTCTACCTTGGAATCTCTCACTGCTTGTAAGGTTGGAGGTCCAGGATTGGCCCGGATATCTGAGCCGGAACTCATCGGCGGCCCAGGACTGTGAGTCTCTACACACTCACGTCCGACAGCTGCTTGGCGGGGGCTTGGTTTCATCCCACCCAGACCATCTCCAATTCTCTGAGTCGATCCAGGATCATTTCACTTCCGTCATCCTTGTTGAAATACTTATTTCTAGGAAGCCAACTTCTTTGCATCTGCAATTCCCTGAATTAAGCTCCCTCTGCCTCTGGCCTCCTGCACCTGCAAGTCCTGCGCAGGATTGTCTGATAGATGCTTCTTTCCACCACACAGAGGAGCAAGGTGCGCTCGTTGCTGTGACCCGATGTCCGGGTCCCACACTTCTCTTTTAGGGACGGGAGTGAGGTGAGAGAGGAGGCACGGGGTACCGGCCTGTCTCTGCCTTCCGGGGGTCAGAATGAGGATGGGCACAGAGGAGGTTACACGGGACAGCTGGGGCTGGAGGAGGGTGCTGTGACCCCTAAAGGGGGCCGGCTACTGGCGCAGCTGGTGCCACATGGCAATCTGTCGGCGTGGGTTTTTGAGCATCTCCTCCCAGTGGCTGCGCTCCGAGCCGGAAGTGTGCAGGCCCAGGCTGCAGTGGCCCAGGGCGCAGCTCTGCCCCACCTCATCCTGGCTCAGCACCTCCAGCTCGACGCTGGAGGCCCGCAGCAGGTCGTCAGGCAGCTCGAACATGATCATCTCGTTCCATACAGGGTTGATCTTGTGCTTGGCCCGTTTCGTCTGCTTCTTCTTCAGCTTCTGAGCCTGGTGCTTCAAGGTCACCTTGACCGAGACATCTGGGCAGGGGCAGAAGAAAGAGATGGAGAGAAAGAAAGGCCAAGTGAGCTTCTGGTGTTGGATGGGCTGTGTTTATTCAATATTTATGTATTAAGTGCCTATTTGATGGCAGGCATCGGACTAGACACGGGTACCCAATGGAAGGCGCTGCCTCTGCAGAACTTACAGTAAGGGAATTGGACAACCCTGGCCAAGCGACCTTTCTACAAAACACTTGGGACCAGAAGTGTTTCCAGCTTGGGATTTTTAGAAGTAACTTCGTGCACACACAACCACATTTCCTGGTGTGAAATTTTCCACTTGTGCTCAACAAAGTTTCAGGATTTGGGACATGGGATTTTTGGATGAGGGCTGTTTAGCCTGTAATTTAACACTCCAGGCTGGTGGTGGGGTGGTCCACACGGGGGCAGGTTTGTGCCACCAGGGATCATTGTCACCTTGAGCCCAGGTGATGGGTGACTTCGTAGGCCCAGATCAAACAAGCCCAGCACAATGACTCAGATACCCTGTGCCTGGATTTTCAACTCAGACCAGAAAAACAAGCCATCCACAGCTCCCCCGCTTGATCTCTGCCCAGCCCTTTCTGTGAATTAAGACCTCTTTGTTGGCTGGTTCCACTCATCTCCTTTGTACTTTCTGTAACCGGGGTCACATGGAGGGTGAAGGCCCTCCTCCCGGGGCTGGGCCAGCACCGCTACTGCCCCCCCACACTGAAAACCCCACACGCAGCCCACCAGAGGGGTTTTCTTCCTAACTTAGCACTCGATCACTTTTCCATTAGTCAAGGTTCCCCAAGCTAATGGGAAAATAATTGTCACTTCGTACTTATTGCTATAATTATCACCCCTGGGTGGTTAGTTTGTTATTTCAGCAGAGATATTCAAGAGACAAAGTGCTACACAGTAATTGTCCCTAACGGAGCTTTAAAGGAGGAAAAAAAAAAATAAGAGCAAAAAGCAGAGAATTGAATGACGAGGATGAAGAACAACTCAGACCTTTGGCTTGGGAATCTGCCAACAAGAGTAGCCCTTCTGATTTTATTTGCCCACAACTTTTTGCTTAAAGATTCTGTACACAGTGGCATTGCTTTGTTTGTACCCTGCTGCTAACACAGATGTGTTTATCTCCTGCTATGAGCACTTGGACCCCACCCCAGGATCATCCGGCTAAACCAGCTGCCTTCCTACTAAGGTACGAGAGCCTGCTTCGATCTCAAGACTTGGTCCTGTGCCGGCGTGCCCAGAAGGAAACACCAAAATGTCCAGAGCGTTGAAAGGAGGCTCACACGGATAAATGGGGCACAGACGCCCCGCGCCTCCGCCCCGCACCCACACGCCTTCTGTGTCGGCCACATTCAGCTGATGTGGGGGTAGCGGTCGGCCAAGGCTGAGAACAGAGAGGAGACTGGGGAAGCTGGGGGAGTGCACTGGAGGCGAGAGGAGACAGGAGGAAGAGAACCAGGGATTCCTCGCAGGGGCACCTGCCCAGAGGTCTGGGTCTGGGTTTCCCTGGAGCGCAGGACTCCTCACCACGTCTAGGGCCTGACCCTTGGCTTCCTGGATCCGTGTTAATGAAGGCTGACTGCCGTCGCAGTGGTCCTCCGAGGCAGGAAGCCCAGGGAGCACCTCAGGGCCCCTGGAGGTGGGGGAGGGGGGCGTGTGTGGCAGGAACGGATGGAGGTGAACTCAAAGGAGAGAGTGCGGCCTTCAGATTGGGCTGTGACCTTGGGCGGAGGGCACAGCTGAGAGCTACTCTCTGCTCTTGCCACCTCCCTTGCACACGCGCCCGTGGTCTGGCCGTGCTCACCCTTGCCCAGGAGCTCCTTGGACTGGTTGGAGTGGAGGTTCTTGGCTTTGATCAGCACCACCAGGAGGCGGTTGGCAGCTGGGAGGTAGCTGATGGACAGGAGGACCTCGCCAGTTCCTGCAGACGGCTCCTGAAACAGAAGGGCACACGCGGGCAGGGGTCACACTGGGGTGTCACTCAGCCTGGGGTAGCACGGGGCTTGCACCCAGGAGTCGTGCCCCCAGCCTGGTTTCTCAGTGCTGCAGAGGGGAGAGACACGAGAAGTGTTAACGGGGCTGGCTGTCCAGGGAGTTTGCTTCCTGCCACCAAATGTGATTCTCTGGGTGAAATGCATTCAGATCCAACGTACTAGGGGTGATCAAAACTTTGGTGAGAATTCAAATCAAAAAAGTTCATTGTACTAAAAGGCACTGAAAGCCATGAATCATCCCCCGCCCATCCTCCCCCTGGCTTTGAACCCGCTCCTCCCGTCAGCCTTGCCACTTTCTGAAGCTGCTCTAGAGTCTTCTTTCCTGTCTCTCGTGAGATGTGATAAAAAATACAGTGACTGCTGTGCCAGGTGCCACCTAACAGAAAGTCTTCCTTATAAAAACATCACGGTGTGTCCCCTCCGCCTCCTTCACCGGCTCTGGTACCATGGGACTTCTGGCTCCTCTCCACAGTCAAAATGACCAGGAAAAGTAGACATTTTGAATGAATTCAGGACATTAAGGCAGCCACGGCATTTACGTTAGTAGTCAGGGCAGACGACATGCACAAAAAAGGACTTCCAGAACTGCTGCAGAAATTGGTAGGATTAATGGGACAATAATAATGGTGGGAATAGTGGGAATCAAAGAGTATTTTGAGGGAGATGAATGGTAATGTGTCTTTCATTGTAATAAGTTTTTATTTTTCAGTCACAAAACAAGGCGATGGCACTGAAGATGTATCAGGGGCAGAAATCTGAGATCTCCTCCACCTTTGCTCCTGCCCCATCCCTAGCCTCCTGGGGTTACTCTGCAAAACTCTAGGGATCCAGGGAACAAAGTTTGGGACTCACTGTGCTGACTCACTGTGCCATCAGATTCTTGAACCAGTGGAGAGTTGTAATTCTGTTTTTCTGGTTTGTTTGTTCTAAAAGCCAATTTGCCCCGGACCGACAGAGTCAACAAAATGCTATAATAATGCTGAGCTGAGCAGGCTTGCTTGGTCAACAGAGGCCAAAGTCAACAAAACACTCCGAGCACAGGATAGGAGAAAGTAGCTCGGAGACGAAGCGTCTCCAGGAAGCACCAAGACACATGCGTGCCCTGTGTACTTCACAGAGCGTCTCCACCGACAAGCCTAGAAATCTGTCAAGGAACCAGAAAACAAACAAACGAGCAAACAAAACCATGACCAGTAACTTCTCCCAGGAAGTGTGGGTCCGGTGGCCATCCAAGCTCGGGGGAGGCCTGTCAGGGAGGAGCACGGGCCAGGGGATTCTCCAGAGAAGGCAGTTGTCCTCTCACAGCCCCCAGGGGGAAGACGCCGCCCCCCTGGCTGGCTGCACTGACGGGGAGCAAGGCATGTGAACGGCCTGGAAAGCCGGTCCTGCTTGATGTCACAGCTTTCATTCTGCTCCCTTCTCTGCAGCTCTGCCCTTCTTTCTGTGCTGTGCCATGGAGGGGCGGCAGGGAGCTCCCCCAGCCCCTGCCACCCCTTGTTAGTGGCCCAGGGTGCTCCGCTCCCTTCCATCACACTCAGTATGGGCACTCAGTATGTGCTCTCGTCTGCTCATCTCCACCAGGGCTGTGAGTTGGGCAGGGCAGGCGCTTGGCATTCCCAGCACAGGGCCCGGCCGGAAGTGGGTGAACGGCAGCACCACGACCCGCTTTAGGATGCGCCTCCTGTGTGACCCTGAGCAAGCCAATTCACTGCTCTAAGTGTCGGTTCCTTCGGCAGAAAAAAGAGGGTCTCAGCCACGCGGCAGACACACACACAGCACCTACTGGGCTTTAGATGCTGCAATTAAGGCGCTGAGCAAAACACAATCTCCAGGGAGTTTGCAGTCACATGGGGAGGGGGTGACACACAGGACTGCACGAGTAACGTCAAGCTGCATTCAATGGTATAGGAAATAAAAATAGCAGAGATCATAAGAGAAAATGCATTTAGCAAGACCCCATGGAAGGCCATAAATTATAATTCAAATGACAGCTGTCAAAATTCCAGTGATTATTAATAGCCCAGAGCAAGCCCTCCATAATGCTTAGGGCACAGACCCCAGAGCTGGCCTGTCTGGGCCTGAGTTCTAGTCCACTACACCTCAGCCTTGGTTCACATTTTCCCTGAAGGAAAAATGTCTCCAACTTGATGCCAGTGACTCTGTCAGCCACAAGTGACTCCTCTACAAAGAGCTGGTTCAGGGGCCTCAAGGAACCTTGAGGACATCATACATGATAGTCACTGCTGCTTATTGAACATTTACTCTGTGCTCAATGCAGTTACACGATCTCTCCCGGGGCTGTAAATTCTCTATGCATCCCAGCTCCTGGCACACAGTAAGCACCAGACGAATGTACCAAAACCCCTTTCGAAGGTGAGACATCCCATTTCACCTTGACAGTGACCCTCAGAGGGTGCTGACCTTGTGCCCTCCCAGACACAAGCATCGGCACTGGAACAGGAGGGGGAAATCTTGTCCGAAAGGGAAGCCTGAGTCTGAAATCAACAGCCTCTGGCTTCCCGCGTGGAGGTGCCCAGCCCCTCACTGCACAGAGAAGGAACGGAGGCCAGGGACACGTGCCAGGCACCCAGCAGGGTGGCAGCAGAGCTGGGATAGGCACCGCCTCCTGACTCAAGGTCATGTGGCGGGGTCCATGGTTGGCTCTGGCTCTAGCCATGGGGTGACTTCTGCAGCCTTCTGCTCTCCCAGCCCCGGGAGGGTCCCCCGCCTGCGGGCCCTGTGGGGCTCTGGACATCCCTGCCCTCTGCACCTGAGCACAGCGCGCTGGCATCTGCCCCCTCGGCATCCTGGCTCTTCAGATGCCTCCTTCCTCACCCCCTTTCTCTGGCTCTCAATGAATCACTCCAGGCTGCCCTCAGAGAGAGTCTTGTGTCGCGGGCCCTGCTGACGCACAAGCCACTTTTGGCTGAGTGTCTTCCGCTAGAACTGGGGCACTGCCGCTGCCTCTGTTAACCCCTTCCAGCCCAGAGAAGCCAACACCTGGCCCCACTGCAGGCTCCCCTGGCCAGGGTTAAGCCAGCCCCTGCCCTCTAGCCAGCCAGAGGCTCCCTGGTGGGCAGGGGGGCTCTCTCTGCCTCCCATTCCCAAGGGAAAGGGATGTTGGGGATGCCTGCCGAGGGCTGAGTACTGGCAGGGGTGGCAGTGAAGATGGGGCTGTGTCCCCAGGAGCCTGAGGGATTTGTGATGGACGGATGGATGTTGCTCTTCTATGAGACGGATCAAAGCCGGGGAGGTGGCTGAGACAGGTCAGTGGGATTTCAGCCCTTTCAGGCTTGTAGCAAAGCCTCAGAGCTCAGCAAGGCAGGGAGGAGGGGCTCCGCATCTCTGGAGAAAGCGGGCCCTCCTGTGTCTGGCTTCTTCCAGAGCAGCCGTCCGTGTTCCACACAAGCCCCGAATCACACACTAATTACAGAGCGTGCTGTGGAACCGTGCCGCAGTGGCTGTGATTATTCTATCAATTTTCCAGGCCTAGGAAAGTGGAGAAAATGTGGCAAGGAAGAAATGCTGGCAAAGAGAGAGCAGGTGGGGAGTGGAACGGATCTCCTCTCTCCTGTGCTCCAGGAACCCACTGGGAAAGGCGCCTGCGGGTTGTGCCTCTTGCTTGTGGGGCAGGGATGACACAGCGGGTTTAGAGTGGAGTGAGTGGGCCTCAAGCTGGGCTCTCAGCGCCCGGCCAGTGACCTGTGCAAGTTCCCCGGCAACAGTGAGCGTCAGATCACAAGCAGGACCATCACGGTGTCTCCCTCACTGCAGGATGTGGGAAGTAGCTGGAAGAACTCCGGTAAAGTCCTAAGGATTGTTGCTGCTACATGGGGAACACTCAGAAATAGCGCCCCGAGCCAGCAGTGGTGGAATCCCAGCACTCTGGGAGGCTGAGGCAGGGGGGTCACAAGTTCAAGACCAGCTTGGGCAATTTACTGAGATGCTGCCTCAAAAATTACAAAATAAATTAGAAAAGGCTGGGGATGTAGCTCAGTGTGACAGTTTGGGTTCAATCTCTAGTACTGTAAAAGAAAGAAAAGAAGGAAGGAAGGAAGGAAGCCAAGCACCTGATGAGCATTCCGACTACTATAGCACAAAGGCCCCAACAATCTAGAAAGGGCCAGACAGAAAATACATACAGCGCTGTGGGCCATGCAGTCTCTGGACAATGGTGACAGACCAGTCCCCACATGTTCCCTGCAGGTACCACAGTGGCGGGTGCTTGGAGCGGCCCTGAGCCAGGACCTAGTGACCCACACCATCCCCAGCCCGCCCTTCTCTGGACCATTGACCACTGTGGCCTGCATGGAGCCACTCTCTGAGGAATGCCTTGGGTCCTGGCTGGAACCCTGTCACTCTGTCACCTCAGTACAGCAGAGGTGAGAAGTCATCTGGGGACTCATCCTCAGCCTGGTGGGTCCTTTAGAGCCACCTTGTACCAGACCTTCCAGAACTTTCTCTCACAGCACTTGGGCTCCACCCACAGGACCCCACGTCAGAGGCTATGGTCACTGCCATCTGTCGGCATGGCTTATCCCTTTGCCTGCGCTTTCTGTTCCTCTACCTGCAGTGCCTGGCACATAGTAGGTGCGCACAGAGTATGACTAGAATTCAACAGGAATGCTAGCTTGCTGTGGTGACACATACTTGTGATCCCAGCACTAAGGCTGGGACAGGTGGGTCACCATGAGTTCAAGGCCAGCCTAACCTACATAGAGTTCAAGACCAGCCCTAACTTTATAGCAAGACCCTGTATCAAAAGGAAAAAAAAAAAGGTGGATGGCACTGCTGTTGCATGAGAGCCAGTGCACACTACGAAGCTTTCCATGAAGATGGCAGGGCGGGTCTGTGGACTCCAGGCATCCTGAGCTCTGGGCCACAGTTCTGCTCCAGTCCTGGCCTTGCCTGAGCTCCCCCGCCAACCTCTCACCCCAGCCTGAAGGTCTCCCGATGTGTTCTGTCCCCTGTGACCCAGGTTTCCTCCCCAACCCTCCATGGACAGGCTTGTCCCTGTCCCCACGAGATGGACAGGATGCACCCTACCTTCACTGAAGTCTTCAGCTCGCCCCACTGGGCGGCCCCCAGGGGCACAGACACCCCATCCAGGGCCAGGTGGAGCTCCCCGGCCACACTATGGCGGGAGAATCGGTCACAGGTCCTGAGGGTGAGTGTCAGGGTAGCAGTGGGCAGCTCCTCCTCCGCCAGGGGCAACACCAGGCCCTCCTCCCAGGCCGTGTGCAGCTGCCGCCTCTTCAGAGCCGTCTGAGCTTCCACGGACCCTGTGCTGATGGCCACGCTGCCCTGCACGTAGCAGTCACAGCCTCCGTTGTGGTCACTGGTCAGAGCTGTGGGCAAGGACAAGCAACATAGACCGGGGACTTCCCAAGGACTGGGAGGGGGAAGCATGTTCCTAAGGAGCCAGCTTAATGGGCTTGGCCTCGGGCATCTGCAGGACCCCAGGGCTGAGCACCCAGCACAGTCATGTCTCTGACGGCAAGACAGAAACAGGAGCTCGTGGAGGAGTTGGGGTCAGTACAGCTCACAGAGGATCCAGGGTCAGCACACTGGGTCTTCCCTGAAGAGCAGTGACCAGAATCAGCACTTCTCTGAGCCCTTCTGACATCAGGAATCTGAGATCTCCCCAAGGCCCAGGGGCCCCGATCCCTTTTGTTAAGGTTGCTACTCATGATGTGATTTATTCATTCTGCAAGTTAAATATTTACCCCTTGGGATTGACTCATCAGGCTGCTCCCTCATATTTCCTGTTTTCCATTCAGAAACCCAGGGTCTTAATGCGTCACTATGTGCAATGTATCAGCCAGCTTCCTGTCACTATAACAAACACCCGAGACAGGACAGTTTATACAAAGGAAAGGTCTGCTTTGCTTCACAGTTTTGGAGGTTCTATACATGGTCAGTTGTCATTGTTTCTGGTCCTTGGTGAGGCAGCACATCACGGCCAGTGAGCAAACAGGAGCAGGAGGAAGGGATTTGGGTCCTGCTGTCCCCTTGATGTTCTAGACAGCTTACACTGGGCCTTCTTCTCCCATTACTGCCACTCAGGTAAGCTGCCCTTTGCCACCCGGGCCTCTGGTGGACATTTAAGATAAAATCCTAGCATTCACTCACCTTTGTGTCTGCCCCCCTCAAGAAGGCCGCTTTATATTCTTGAATCGCGGTGTTTTTAATGAGTCACAGTACAGATTTAAACAGAATTCCCCACTGTGGTGCTCTGATGACCAGCTCCTCAGTGAGAATTTGGGAAGTGGGAAGTGACATTTCTCAGGAAGAGAAGCTGAAGAACTAAGGCCACTGTCCTGACAGAACTAACTTCCTACTGAGCATCAAGGGGCTGCCCTGTCCTGGCTCTGTCAACAGCTAGTTGGGATGATCTTGGACCAGTCGCAGAAGTTGCTAGACTTTGAGTTTCTAATTGTGAAATGGGACTATCACAAAGACTAAATATAATAAAATATATCACAGTACCTAAAAATTTTAAAAGGCAATAAAAAGGAAAAGAAGAAGGAGAAAAAGAAGGAGAAGAAGAAGAGGAAGGAGAAAAGGAAAGAAAATCTGAAGATAGGGATGTAGTTCAGTGGTAAAGTGATACCTAGTTTGTGCGAGATCCTGGGTTCAATCTCCTGTGCCACAAACAAAAAAAAAAAAATACTGTCATAGTTTGGATTCTTAGTATCCCCCAAAGGCCCTGTGCTGAAGGCTTGGTCTCCAGCTGATGGTTCTGATGGTCAGAGGTGGGACCTTTAAGAGGTGGGGCATAGAGGGAGGAGGTTGGGCCACTGTGGGTGTGGCCTTGAGTGGAACGCTGGGACACTGGCCTCTTTCTTTCTTTGCTTCCTGGCCACCCGGTAGTCACCGGGCCTCCCTCACTAAGCATTCCTGCCTCGATGTTCTTCCTTGGCAGAGGCTCAAAATTAAGAGGGCCAAGTGACTATGAGCCAAAATAAGTCTTTCCTCCTTTTAAGTTGATTTTCTCAGGCATTTTATCACACCAACAGAAAGCCCATCAACACAAAAACATAGGAAAATTTATCACAGAAGCCCGGTTTATTTGGCCTCACTTTTAACTGATTCCTTTGCAAAATCTTTAGCTTTTTTACTGATGGTAAAGGGCATTGTGAAGAGAGGGACAACAAGGACATCTTGACCCCTCAGAGAAATTGTCTGGTTCTCAGATTGCAAAAAATTTTCTGATCCTTCTAGAGACTCTCCTCCATGTGTAGCACAAACCCTATTCAATGTCAAGGGCACGTATGGCAGAGACCACTAGCTGTTCACACAAAAACTGGGGAGCCAACTAGGCCACAGTTCCCAGGCTCCTTTTATAGTGAGGTGTGGTCATGTGACTGGGCCTGGCCAATGGGATGTGAACAGAAAGTGATATAGACCATTTCTGGGTAAGGCTGTTGGGGAATGTTTGCATCCTCTTCTGGTTCTCATTCTATCTGCTACATACAGATTAGAAGAAGGCCCATTGGGATTACGGAGCCTCAGAGGGAGGAGTTGGTCCTTAAATCATGATTTGGAGAAAAGATGTCTGCCAACTAGGAACCCCTACTTTAGGTTGTCAGCAGAGGAAAGATCTATGTGCCCTTGGCTTAGGTCCTGCCTCCATGGCACCACTGGGGGACAAAGGCCCCCAGAAGCCAGCAGAAGTAACGCAAGGAAGAGCAGTACCTTCCAGGCGAGTCACAAAGAGTTCAGCCTTCTGCCGGTCATAGTCCAGGCAATAGTGGAGTCTGGGGGCCTGGTTCCAGCTGGCAGCCTTTTCTGGATTCCAGGTCTCCATGACGCAGACATCCTCCACCACACCTGTCAGAGAGGCGAAATGTCACTGCCACCATCACACCTTTCTCACCGCTGCCACCTAGGCCACAAAGCCAAATGCAAAGCTTCTGAAAGCCCTCAACGGTGGTCACACCAGAGCCACACCAGAGGTCATGAGCACGGCATGTGAAGGGACCATCATAGTCCAGTGGCCAAAACAGTAGTCCACCGGCTCCAGTGTCTGACACGAGCTGTTGTATAATAACTGTGACCTTGGACAAGGAACTTGACTTCTCTGAGCCTCAGAGTCCTCTGTAGAGTTCCTCTTTCCTGGAGTTACTGTGAACATTAAATGAAATAAGACAGAGGACATTCTTAATCCAGAGCCTGGCTCACAGAGAGCTTTTGGGAAAGAAAACTGTCACAGCTGTGTGATTCTGGTAACTACTGTAGGCAAACCATTCCCAGCCCAGCCCTAGCTCCTCCTCTGCCACCAAGCAGTATCCCCTGTGTCCAAGAGCAAACAGTTGGAGATACAAACATAAGAAAAGAATTAGAAGAAACCAGCAGCTGCTGCCGATGCCAGTTGAAGCAAAGTGGAATTTAATTTCCAGTGCTCAGGACCAATTCAGGGACTAGAAATGGAGGCGGCTATTAATTTCCAAAGTGGTTCATTATTAGGTCCTGCAAACAGTAAAAAATTTCCCCAGGGCTTCTAAGAAAGGGACCAGGAAGTGACCAATGTGTAAAGTGAGACACGTGTGTGCACAGGGCCCACTGAGCCTCCCAGACCATCCCGCAGATGACCGCAGCAGTGGTGGCCTTCGGAGGGGCTCAGTGGCACCCAGAGTTCTCAGCTGTTAGGCAGCCTCAGCCTTTGATGTCAGAACCAAGCTCACTTATCTAAGACTGTGTGTGTATGCATGTGTGTGTGTGCGCGTGTGTGGTACCGGGGAATGAACCTAGCACCTTTGTACTGAGCTACATCCTCAATCTTTTATTTTCTTTTTTGGGAGAGGGTCACTAAGTCACTACACTGCCCAGGGTTGATCTCGAACTTGTAATCTTTCTCCTGCCCCAGCCTCCCAGAAGACTGGGATCACAGGCCTGCCTGCACCATCGCACCTGGCTAAGAGGATCAGTTTGAAATTCATCAGATTCATTCATCTGTGCTGCAGGTGCCACAGAGGCACACACACACACATGTGCACGCTCCCATGCCAGCCTAGTCACTGGGCTTCCGGTCTGGGACCACATCTGCCTGGTGCGTCAGCCCGCGCCCCCCCCCCCGGTACTGTCTGCCTATGGGCATTGCCCTCTCCACACTGATGCTGACGGAAAGGAAAATCAAATAGTAACAGGAACTGTATGTTTTGATCATCTCCTTTGTGCTAGGCCCTGAGCTGAACACATATAGACATCATTTTATTCACACTTTCAACAACCCTAACAGGATGGTGATAATTCGACCCCATTTTGCGGATGAGACTGAGGCCCAGAGGGTTTAGCAGCATGACTGACGCTATGCAGCGAGTATATAAAAGGACAAAGAATGGAGCCCGTGACTGAGCCTGCAGCTTAATCACCATGTTTTGTCCATTCTCCATAGCTGCACGCACACCCACGACTTAAGAGGGTCTCCCCTTCAATAGTGCACGGCCAGGCCACACGCCGCATCGCAGTGACCCTGACGGCCCCCTCCGCACCCGCCCTCCAGGCAGAGGAGACGCCCTACCATTCTGGGGAAGGATGAACAGCTCCTCCGTGACCCGCCTCTTCAGGCGACTGTCACTCAGGGGCTGAGGGCTAGCGGGTGCAGCAGGCTCCTCCGTGGTCCCCAGTGTGTAGTCGGCGTAGTTGATGACCTCCGGAGCCGTCACGGCAGGCCTGGGGCCGTAGACATCTGGGAACTTGAGGAGGGCGCGGGGCTGAACAGGCTCCGTGGATTTCTTCACGTTGAACTGCAAACACAAACCAGCTCGCCAGGGGGCGTCCTGCCGCCCCACCAGTGGGCGCAGGTGGCTGACCTGACCTTTCACAGGAGGCAGGGAGAGGTGTGGCTCCCTCCTGCTCCTGAGAGGGAAGATAACACATCACTTCGGAGCCCACCAGGACGCAGTGCCACAAGCCACGCAGGGGCCCACGGCGGGCCATCCCTTCTCCTGGGCGGCCGTCCCTAGTCACCCTCCTCTGTGTCCCTTGCCTCTCTGCCCTCTCTTCTGTCTCTTATTCCTTCACTTCCTCCTTTCTCCACCCAGGGCTCAGACAGGCCAGTGGCTGCCACTATCCCCGGCACAAATCTAGATTTCTTGTGGTGGCCCAAAAAAGCTTGCCCAGCCCAGCCCTGCTCATCTCTGAGGTTACCCCAAATCTGTCTGCCTTTTCTCACCACCAGCCAGTGAATGAAACACAAGGTGAATATTTAAATGGAGACAGAAAATCATGAATCCCCTCCAAACCTTCCCCTCTCCCAGAACACACCTCTCCCACCGTTCTTGTCACTCCGGCAACTGAAACTCTGGCTTCTCCAAGTCTTTCAAATGCATCTTAAATAGCTCAGTATTCACAAAGCAGAATAGAGGTTTGGGAGTTGAGGGAGCAGATTAAGGGTGAAGAACAAGATCGCCCAGAAGCAGGAGGTGCTGGGTACCAAGGTTGCAGGAAAGCCTCACGCTGTGGGCAGGAGTGGGGTGGGCAGGACTCGGAGCCAGAGATTCTCAGTCTGCACTGCCCCTGAGCCCAGGAGAAAATGGATGATTCAGGAAGGTTCCCAGTGGGGACCAGCATTCAGCAGTTAGGGAGGGGGGTGCCCGCTCTGCCCCTCTGGCCCTGGGTCAGACTCCTCTGATGAGCTCCTCAGGTTCTCCCAGCCTCTCCTCTCTCTGGGACCTTGGGCCATCAGCTCCTCCCACAGTGGCCATCTCTGCACTGGTCCATGTCAGGTGGGCGCAGCCCTGCTGGCCACCCTGGGGCTTCTCTGTGGCTGCTGAGATGAGACAGATCAGGGACAATGCCCACCAGAAAGCTCTCCAGATGTGCAGAGAGTCAAAATCGAAACAACCCAACAGCAGAAATGGATAAAGATCTACAAAGGGCTACTTAGCACGTGAAAAGACACTCTGCTTCCCTAATCATCAGGAAACTGCAAATCAAACTATGATAGTAACTGCCACACACCCCTTAGGATAGCCACGGTCAAAAAGCCAGAAAATACCACGGGTGGTGGTGCTCTCCTACAGTGCCACCACTCGGAGAGGCTGAGGCTGGAGGACCACAAGTTTGAACCCAGCCTGGCTAACTGAATGAAGCACCGTCTCAAAATAAAAAGTAAAAAGCAAAGGCTCTGGGTTCAATTCTCAGGGCTGTAAAACCAACCAACAAACAACAAAACCAAAAACAGAAAATGTGAGAATGTGGAAAAGTGAGAAAGTGGGGCACTGTTGGGAATTTAAATGGTGCAGCTGCTGTGGAAAACAGTATGATTCTTCCCTAAATAATTAAATTTGGAATGACTATATACATATGCATGTACTCCAAAGACTTGGAAGCAGGGATGTTGAAGAGATATTTGCACACCCATGTTCCTAGCAGAATTATTCACAATAGTTAAGGTATGGAAGTGTCCTCCATGCCCACCAACAGAGGAATGGACAAGAAAATATGGGCCACACACTGGAATATTATTCAGCCTTAAAAAGGAAGGTGACTCTGACATTGGTGAACCTAGAGGACATTGCCTGAAAGAAGCCAGTCACAAAAGCCATTACTATCTAAACCTCCATGCAAGATACCTGAGTGATAATGCGTTAGAGGTGGAAAGTGGAAGTGGTTGCCGGGGGCTGGAGGAAAGGAAATGGAGAGTTAGGGTGTAATGAGCCCAATTTCCATTTTACAATGCAAAAAGCACCATGGAGATTAATGGTGGAGATATTTACCATGATGAATTATGCTAAGACTATAAATTCTGCTGCACGTATTTTATGCAATTAAAAAAAAAACCCAACAACTCTTCAGGGAGGAATTGACGCTTGCTTGCAGGAAGCCAGGCAGTGAATTCCTCTCCCTCCTCCTCATCGCTCTTGTCCACAGAGCCTTCACTTCATTTGGGTGGAAGATGACACTGGGAGACCCAACTGTCTCTCTGGATGTCACCGGGTAGCTCTGCACCGTCCCCAGTGCTTGTCCCTGCTTCCTAAGAAGAGCCCTGCCTAGAAGCCTCAGGCTCCCCTTCCACCAGTCCTGCCTAAGACAGATAGCCAGAGCAGGGGACAGGTGGACCTGAACCATCATCTAATGAGCAAATATTTATCTAGCCTTATTGCAGGCCAGGTCTTACAAGAGTGTGAGAAACACAAGTGCGGTGAACCAGACAGATGCTGTCCCTTACGGGGCTTCTGCTGGGAAAGCAGAAATTAATTATGTAGTTAATGATCTGTAAACAAACTCTTAGCCTTACCAGAGATGCTAGACAATTCCTTTGTGACATGATTAATTTTTCACCTAAAGGCTGTTTATTAATCTGAGAACTCATGCTGGGACATTCCTCTTAAAATGTAGCTCCCAAGAAATGCAAGTGGAGGGGCAGCCTAGCTGGGAAATAAAAGCACAGCTTTGCCCTTGAACTTGAGCTTGAACTTGAAGGAGAAAACACAGAGGGCAGAGTTGGGCAATGCTGAGAAAGAGATCTGCAGGATTCTGTGGCTCTGGGCTCTGATACTGATGATTATGAACACTGGTCAGGAAGTCAAGCTCAAATATGAGACAGCTTGGTTGAAACTCAGGCTCTGCCAGATGCCCGCTGTGTGATCTTGGGTCCCATTCATCAGCCTCCCCGAGCCCGGTTTCTCCACCTGTACCACTGGAATTCTGGCAACAGCAGCTATGTTCTGGGCCTACTTAGGGTGAGAGAAGGTGGCCATGGACAACTAGTGGTCACAGCAAACCTCCATAAACCCCGGAAGGATTTGTTTGACCCTGCAGCTTTGACCGGTGCTGTGCATAATGAAAATGGCAAGAGCACAGCCATGTGCAAGCCTGGAGGTAGGGCCTGTCCCAAAGTGCCCTGAGATGACACAGCTTCAACCAGCACCTTGGCCACAGCTGGGGAAGTCTATGTGCTCAGCTGCCACCAGGTTCCTGAAACTGTGAGCTAACATGGTGGTACACCCCACCAAGTTCAGGTTGATTTGCCAAACAGCGATGGGTAACTAGGACAATTGTTTGTGGGAATTAGCAAAGGAGGTGCAACAGATAGAGACACAGCTGTGCAACTACACACCCACTAGAATGGCTACAGTGAAAAATGTTGACAACAGAAGCGCTGGCAAAGACAGGAAACATGGCAATGTTTATCTATTGCTGGTGGAAGGGAAAAGGGCAAACTGCTTTGACCACGAAATGTTTAAGAGTTAAATATATACCTATACTACGACCCAACGATCCTACTGTGACAGCTAAGCTGCATTGTCAGTTTGATTGGCTTAGGCGATAGTAAAGTATACTTCTGAGTGTGTCTGGGTGAGTCGCAGAAGCTATTCTAGTCACTGGTCCCTTTTTCCACTTCTTGGCCACCAAGAACTAAGAAGCTTTGCTCCACCGCACCTTCTGCCATGATGGTTGTGCTTTGGAGCCTGGTGATTAAGGCCTGAACTCTCTGAAACTGAGGCAGATTAGCCCTCTCCTCCTTTAAGATACAGGTGTTTGTTATCCCACCCACCAATGGGAACGCTGACCAATACAGGCACTCTTCTGTATTTACAAAGAGAAATGAAAAGTAAATCCACAAAAAGACTTAAATAAGGTGAAGGGTAGCAACTTTATTCACACTAGGCCCAAACAAAGAGCAGCCCAGGTGTATAGGGATAAGAAAGTTTTGGACTTGTCCTCAGCAGTGAAAAGAAATGGATTTCAGGGGCAGTCAGACTTCCAGTACCTGTGAGGACAATGTGGCCGCCACCTCCCCTACATTCTCATGTACTGGTCCCTGTGATGACACACACTTCATCGCATTTGACCTTTGCTGAGCCATTTAGGGAAGTGCTGAATTTTTTTAAATGGCACATATCCTAATGTTAGTAAAGGAAAGTAAAAACTGCATAATAATTTTCTCTACAGAGCAGGAAGTTGAGGCTCAGAGAGGTCGAAGCTAGTCCACGGTCACACAGCTATATGTGACCGTGCTGGGCTTTGAACGGAAGGCGACCCTGAAGCCAGTACTGGTAACCAGTACATGACCCTGCATGGTTCTTCTGGGATGCGTCCTGCGCTCCACCCACAGCAAGGAAAGGTGGAAAAGTCCAGGCCATTGCTTCTGATTCTCTAGCAAGTGCAGCAGAACCAGCCATGCCCCTCCGCCCACCTTCTCCCGACCAGCGGCCCCGTTGTTCTCTGCTACTTCTCTCAGTTTGGAGTTGGCGTTGGACATCCCCTGTTTAGAACGGCGGGTAACATGCTTCACCACCCCCACCGGCTGGCGACCTCTTTGAGTCTTCAATTCCCACAGTTTCTGTGCCCCCCACTGTACTGCTCTCCGAGGGACTCCAAATCTTTCTGTTAAACAGGTCAGTGGCAGAGGGCGGAGCTGTCCATGGCTTCTGTAAGATGGGAACCCACCTGTTTAATGTGGTCCCTGTGGTTGGACTAACAGACTTCATTCGAATCCTATGCATCTCTTTTCTTGATTTCTTATCCGTGGTGACCAGGTTTTGAATGTTAGTTTTCCAAAGAAGGTCATTTTGTTACCAAAGTCTTAAAACACTGGACTGTGTATCGTTTTCCCTTATTTAAAATTTTTACTTTGAGACAGGGGCTCACTAAGGTGCTAACGTTGCCTGGGCTGAGCTCGAACTTGCCGCCCTCCTGCCTCAGCTTTTCAGTGCGCTGAATATCAGGATATTACTTTCTTTGACATTGAATTTAGGGTCTTCCAGAGGGGCTATAGGATGTTTGGATTCTATAATCC